TGCAAGGCATGGATGAAGGATGAAGGAAAATACCCTAGGGATAGATGGCTGGACTCAGGACAGGGGAAGGGAGAGACGACTAGAGCAGGGCTCAGAGGCGTTCAGCAAAGGATGCAGAGCAGGCCAGCAGGTTTCACAGAGGCAGAGGGGATCCTAGGAGCCACAGCAGCAGGAAACCCAGCTTTCTAGCTGCCCTCCTGGTTGAACAGCATGGCAGACACTGCAGCCATCCCGTTGCCACCCCATCTTGGGGACAYTTCAATCGCCGCCAGCTTGGCCGCACTCGCTGTAGCTTGGGCACCATGACCCACGGGACCGCTCTCCACAGCACGGCCTTTGCTTGGGCCGCCGGGCGGCCCTCTCTGTCCACAGCTTTGCTCCATGTTGCCACGCGGCCCCCGAGGCGGCCGTGCCGCAGCGGGACGGGACGGGACGGCCTGCGCTACGCGGCAGGGCTGCGCGAGCGGAGCCCTGTCATGGAGGAGAGCCCTGCTCTGCCCTGGCGGCCATGCCGCCTGCCAGCTGGCTCCTGCAGCCTGCTGCCCCCACAAGGGCTTTCCGCGACCTGCCAGACCCAGGGCCTCAGCAGCACGGGAGCAGAACAGATCCTGCAGCCCCGCGCACGTGCACCAGCCCCGCGGCAGAGCAGCTCTAATCCCCTCTGACAGCTCCGCAGGCCGAGGAGACAGGGACAGAGCTGCCTCCGGAGAAGGAGCCCCGCTCAGCTGCCAAGAGGCGGCCAAGTYCTGCCGGCACCGCGTCCAGCCCTCACCCGCTCCCAGGGCTGCAGGCGCCCCGTCTGCCACGCTACGATTAGCCTCCCTGGTCCAGTGGTGGGTACCATGGATGGAGCCGCGCAGGGGAAGCAGGAGGGGGAACCATTTCCCTGCWTTTCCCTGGAGAAGCTGCAGTTCCCTTGTGGACGCCTCAACTTGGGGCCAAGGCTCCCGGCTCGGCTCCTGCAGATGGCTCGGGCAGCCGCCGGCCCCACCACGCAGGAGCTGGCAGTGCAGTGCCAGGATGAGCCCCWGCTGCCAGCAGCCGCTGCCCTGCATGTTCTACCCACATCCCACTCTGCCCTGGGCGACTCCCGGTTGGCTCTGCTCRCCCTTCCCAGCCTCTGCTCTGCATCCAGACACCCCTGCCCTGAGAGCTGCCCTCACCCCCTCACTCATGGACCTGCACCCTGCAGGCCTTGCTGCTGCTCCCAGCATCCCAGGTGCYGTTCAGTCGTGTCCTTGTTTACCCATCTCGCCTCCCACCCCAAACAAACACATACAGACCAACAGACCAGCCCAGAAGATAAGACCATATTGAAAGTCCATATGTGCCTGTAGCAGCAAATCCCCAGGCGTGATGTGGCATACACTGCACCCTGACATGCCTCTGACAATATACATGAGAATATGTATTTCCATCATGCCACCTACCACTGCAGACTGATGGAGAGAAACCCAACTCAGCGAGCCAAAGACTGTTGGGTTTCAGGGCTGAAGGCAGCCTGTGGGTCAGGCCACAGGCTGAGCACTTCCAGCGGCATCTCGGACAGGATCCAGAAGATTCTGTGGGCAGTGGGGATGGGAACTCCTTACATCCTGATCTATTAAGGCAGGGGAAGCAGCAGCATTTAACAACCCGCTGCACCTTCGCAAGACAAAGAAACCCTGTGCGTTTAACTTAGACCTGCCAAAAAGCAGGCTTTGATCTGAAAAGCCACATGCTGCTCACAGAAGATATAGAGAGCTGAGGGCCAGTGGAGAGAGGTTTTCTTCATGTGCAGATCCTGCTGCCTGCGAGGGATCTTTGGGGTGCTTGGCCACCGAGYGAGCGCAGCTCTCCAGTTGCTCGCTGACACAACCAGGGCCCCGGCACAAAGGCTGCTGCCGAGGCCCGGGAACAGCAGGCTCCAGCCCCCAGCACAAATGTGAAGAAATCAACAAATAAACTTTTCCATTTTATTGCCTAAATCACTATCATAAATCTCCCCAGAGAGGAAGTTTCTGTTTCTCCAGCTTCCTACTCAGTGTCCTTGAGAAAACAAATGACACCACACTCAAAAAAGCCCATAGTGGTTTACTCCGCACTTCCCTATACATTGTTATGCTGAGTGCTTCATTTAGAAAAGGCTGACCTCCCCAGCCTTCTTCATCCCAGTGCCCTTCGCTGCAGGGACGCACCAAGGAACAGGTTTAGAAATGGAGAAAAGAGCTGCGTAGATGTTCCAGAGCGGGTAACCCTGCCAACTCAGCATCCCAGAGGTGTAGAGGGAGTCAGCATGACAATAACTGCTGTCTGAGAGGTGATTTTCACGGGAGATGTAAGAGTGGAGCTATAAGCACAGAAGCTGTGAATACAGCCATTAAAAGAGAACAAAATGATGTCCCCTTATATTTCATTAGATGCATTTTCTTACACAGCTCTGGGTAGGGGCTCTAACTCTCCTCAGCACCATTCTGCTCAAGCAAACCTTCACACATTTGGTCCACGAGTTTTTGCTAGTAGGACACAAAAACATTATGCCCTGGTTCAACAGGGTACAATGAATTACCACTGAACAGCGTCCTGAATGTGTTAGCTACCTTAGGTAAACACCCCCCACAGGAGAATAAGAAAATCTATAGGTTATTTTACTCTGTTTTACATAGACTTAATAATTCCTCTAAACAAAATGACACTGATTTGTTTTTATATCAGCCATTAGGTATAACAGAAGGGAGGAGGAATTGGCTTTACACTCGTTAACAAGGTAGGATCATTAGATATAAGTAACTGCAGCGATAGGATCAGTCTGCAGTAGGCAAAGCTGGGCTTCCTGGGAGGCACCAAAGAGAAGAAATCCACAATATTTCCCAAGTCATAAAGCTGAGGACAAAAAGACCCTTGATTGCATATTGTCTTCAAGAACTAAATATAAAGTTCAGAAAAGTCTGAATTAGGCTTGACGGGCTTTATTAAATAAATACATGTAAACACCAATACAGCATAATCCATGTTAATGGGGAAAAAGATATAAGGATTTTTTTGCATGTAATCAGCTTGCTTTAGCAAAAACAATTTTTCATTCGACTATGAAAAATAAAGTAGCATCTCAAAGGCTCCCTTAGGGCAAGTGGTATTACCAGGTGCCCCATTCCTTATAATCTCTGTAATCTAGATTTCCTTACTACTTACATTGTACTTGTATTGAAAAAGAAACATTTTATGTCCTTAACTAAATCAAACGCTTTCCGCTGAGAAAGAATGGTCATTTGGTTTCTGCTAGAACAGCATTTTCTTTCTGTTTTTTACAGATTCTAGCTATTTCACACTGCCTTCACTTGCAACCAGCACGCGGGCACAACAGGAACAAGAGCATTCAAAGGCAATGTGGAAAACTTTTTTCGCAGCTATTGCCAAGCAAGTGCAACGGGCCGGGTCAACACGGGCAACAACATTTATCTGGTAGCGTTAGTGACTGCAGAGCCCCAGGGATGGAGTCAGGTGGCAGAGGGAAGGGAGGGTTCCCTTGAGCAATGAGCTCTCTCCAAAGTCACAGCCAGGGCAGTGCTGGAAGGAAGCTCTGTATCAGCTCGGTCTCAGCATTAGAGATTTCCTACCAGCTCGGCACAGGACGCTGTTCCTGTGGCTCACCTGAGGGAGTTCCTGTTATGAAGCCAGAGGGTGGTAGGTTGAAACGCAGTTTCTGAGAGTGATGTAATCTTGGACAGCTCTCCGTAGGCAGTGATACTAGTGACCTGGTTACAACCTGCAGTGTTGTTACAGCCCCTCTGCTGGTCTGGTGATCACAAGAAAGGGAAGAAAGAAAAAAAAAAAAAAAAGAGGGGAGTGGAATAATTTTAAAAGGAAAAAAAAAGTTTCCAGATTTCCTTTGTTTAAGTGAAGCATTTTCCTTTTCCACTTTATTTGAATGCACCGACCTGGTGTCTAACAGATGGAGACTGTGCAGATGCACTTTTGGGAGTGCCCATAAAATACACTGCTAAAATACAAGTAGGGGGAGGGATACTTTTTGGGGGGTTGTAAATTTAATAATCATTGCTGTCACCTCACTTTCCCAAAGGAATCTGCCCTTTGTTCTCCGGATAAAGCTGGGGAGAAGAAAAAAAGCAAGTGAGAGACAAGGGAACATTTAGGAAAGAACACATATCCATAATCTGTACAAGCATCGCAGCATACAGTGTTTGTGCACACATCAGGAACCCATACAAGCAAGTTAGCAGCAACAGCTGTGCACAGCAAAAATATGCTTCTTATTCATCTTATATTTGTCTCCCTTTCTTCAGACCTTGCTATCAAACAGGCCAGCTAACTGGCTCACTCCCAGGTCTTACGCACAAGCATTTGCTCAGAGATGTCATCTAGGCCTGGCTTCTTCCAGCTTCTTGTGCAGCAAAGAGAGAAAATACTCTTATTTATTAAGATTATTCGGCAACAAACAGAACAATTCAGAAGGTTCCTCAAGCAGAAGAGTATGAGCAAAGCAGCAAAGCTGCTTTCATAAAAAGAGGACACTTAGAGGAAGTTCATTAAATAATAAAGCGATGGTTGCAATAATGAGAAGAGTTTTTTCCTTTTTAATCCACACATTTATTTAGCATCGTGTTTTTTCTTGGTCCTTATTAGGTTGCTGAAACGGTATTTATGTGGCTGAGGAAAAGAAGATTTCCCTTTGTGTAGTGACTTTGACACACAACTCATCCAATATAACGGAGTCAAGACTTCTAAAGAGACACTGCCAGCCAACAAAGTACAACAGTTGACAGGATTGTTTGCTTTTTATATGTTCTTTCCACAATTTGAAAAGATATGCCATTTTCGAGAAGCATTCCGCAATATTATGCAACAGCTTTCTTAATTTTTAATGGATATATTATTTTTTAAGTGTCAAGTTTCGCATAAAGCATTTTAGTATTTTATTCAGCATATACCATTAATAAATTATTTGTTCCTTCCTCCCGCCCCCCACAGCTGCACTTAGCATAAGGAAATGGTCTATTGACACTATAAAAGATACTTTCAACTGGCACACTCTACAGCCATTCCCGTCGTCAGACAAAGCACCAGGAGTGTATCCCTGTTCCTACTTCGTCGACACGCTGGCAGTGCTGAACATGCTACCCAGCAGTTTCATCACAACCTGTCCTTTGGTGAGAAGGTTTACACAAACATACAGCAGCCAGTTGCAGTAGAAATAAACTAGCACCCTGTAACCATCAGTGATTCCTGTTAAGAGCGTTCACTCTTGGCATGATTACTCCAGTGTCCTTTAGTCACCATGTCCAAGTGATTGGGGACATCTTAGGGAAGCGAGTCAGGGTGCTGCTTTTCCAGAGAAACTTGTCCGCTTGACCTGAGCTTGTTCAAAGGGCACACATCTCATCTCAGCAGATCTGCCCATTCTATAAGGGCAAAAAATGGATGAGATTTGATGTCTTCAACACCAGCAACGCCAGCACCAAGACGCTCCGCGGGATTGAACTGCAAAAGCTTGACATAAAAAGGAAAAAATACACGATTCAGTGAGTAAGAACAAAAACAACTGCTTAAAAGTTCCAGAAAGGTCTAAGGTAAGGGACATCCTACTGTTTTCCTGCTCTGTGAGTTACTTTCAAGAGTGCGAAACATACTTGAAATTCCTAAAATCCAACAAATGGAAGACTCTCCTTTCCTTGAGTCTCAGCATTACAGTCTTCAGAGACCACTGATCACAGCATGCAATACCCTGAAGCACTGCACGTTGGGACTTCATTTTAACTGTAACCTCGTTTTAAAAAGAGAAGAGCAGCCCCAGCCTGCATCTGCAGCACTCTGGACATTGCATTTGCTTCATGTTAACCTTTGCTCACACTGCTGTGATAAGGTTACATCGGGGACAATGGTCTGTAACTTTCCGTTTCATAAGTTTCATGGTTCCTCTGAGTTGCTCCTAAAATACCACAATATGATGGCCAGCTCTCTATTTCCTAAGAAAGTTTTTAAAGAGTTGCACAAAGGGATTCAAACTGAAAAATCAAAATCCCAGTGGCAAAACAGTGTAATGGCTTAATAGAAATTTCATAAAATCCAGCACTGCATTTGCTTCCTAGTTGTACATCACATGCTGAATTCATGTGAAAGGGACATCACAATATTTATATCTGTTTAAAAATACCAATCCATATAAAAGGGAATGCAAAGGCAACACTCCAAAGAGACTAATAAAGACACATGAAAATACTTTGCACTTTTAAAGCATTGTTTATACTCTGCTCAACTGCACCCACTACAAAGACTTGATTTCTTTTTTTTTTTCCTTCTTCTGCAGCAGCTAATGGGATAACTTCTTCCASTTGTCACAAGGAACAATGTGTATTCATATCTCAATGCACTCAACATCTAAGTAAGCATACATCCATAAACATATGAATGTACACATTTCACGAGGCTTTGGCATCTGTAGTCATAACATCACACAGTAAAGGTAACTCAGGAATAGTGAAAAGTGCTGCTCTGAGTTTCCTCAGAGCTTCTTCACTTCCCAGCAGGAACAGATGCAGCCACCGTCTCTTCACCTTCTCCTGAAATAGAACAAGTGCTGACAGCTGGAAAGTAAGCAGAGATGCTTGTTTCCCCAAGTTCCTCCTTCCAGGAGAACTTCAATCTTGGAAAGTAGATACATCACAATTACAATAGTTATCTATTTAAAAACCATCCTGCAAACTTTTCTGGTAGAAAACTTGGGAGTGCTGACAAAAAGAGATCTTGGGTGCAAAATACTAACCCAACGTACAGTAACAACTTTATCTTTCCAAAGTGCATGAGAAATACAAAGAACTCTCATTTGGCTCTAAGGTAGCTCAGTGAAGGGGGTGTTTATGAGGCAGTCACGTGCCCTGGCAGCGATGCTGCCAGACAGGTTTCTGGAGAGCTGAACGGTGATCCCTGACAGTTCACATTACTCTGTGATGCTTTGACCTGTCTGCCCTTGGCAGGGGGGAAGGAAAGTCGCAATGACAAATTGCTAACCATGGCAAGAGAGCTTTCTTCCTTTTCCTGACAAGGCTTCCTCAGCACTGAATGGCAGCTTCCTTGGATGGTCACACAACAAAACGTGATTTACTAGCTCATACAGCTGAACCTCCACCGTCACCAGCCTATATTAGAGGGCTTAACCTAATGGGCACTGATGTAACTGTTCTCTGAACAGACAGAGCTTTGTAACACATCCTTTAAACTCTAAGTGGCAAAAGGGCCTCTTGGGGTAATTTGAAAAGCAGCAACACCCTCTGCAATGAGGACTGGCTGAGGGAGGTGCACTAGAAGACTTTGTTTGTCTTCAGGTTCAGAAGTAGATGGCAGGAATTCTCCTCACCACATGGGGCTTGGCTCTGCCCTTACCCATTTCAGCCACGTATCATCTGTGGGCAAGGGCAACAACTAGCTACCATCTAATAAAATGAATGCAGATGACACAAAAACAGGGCTTTTCCTTAGCCGCTTCCCTCCTTGTTCTTGCCACAAACACCCAGATGCACGCACTCACTTTCAGGGAATTTCAGGCAGCTCATCAAAATAATAGTCCAAATGCCTGGTTCCATTCCCATCCCCTATTTCACAGTAAAGGCACAGAAGTCAAACTATCACTGGATCTTTTGACTTGCTGGACTTCCAAAATCCCTTTGCTCGACTTTCTTCAATAACTATTTTTTCACTCTGCTCTGTTCAGATCTAGATCTMAGTGATGGCATTATTTATGTATCCATTCACCAGGCACTCTTCATGAGCACAGCAGAGCTCACATACATCACTTATTCTACCCAAGTGGCATACGTCATACCCAGGCTCCTCTTCCTCAGTTAACTATAGGAAGGAAGATCGCATTACCTGAAATTCAAGGCATTGCGTATGTACAAGTTTACTCTCTCAGTCATGACTACCTAAAGCAGAGAATAAACTAAAAATAGCAGTCCACACTCTTTGCTCTTTCCTTTAAAACTGAAAATATAAGGTATATCAGTGTGTGATTATACTATAAAGTGGCCCCTGCCCTTTCTTTCAACCTATGAGTTGTCTTCTTATCACCTAAGTCCGATTTTTCACCACTAAAATCACTTTTCCTAAAAAAAATTGAAATCAGAAAGTTTCCTTGAGGAGAGCAATAAATTTTCAGTCACAGTAAGGCCATAACTTCCAAGAAATATGTTAGAACTTTCACAGAACCTACTGCCTTCTTGTTCAATCAGCTTCAATATTCCTGAGTTTAATTTATTTCATCACAATATTCCCATGACGATATAGGGCACAATTCCTGAAATGGCCATACAGCACCAGCAGGTGTTTCCAAAGCACTCAGCATTGTCCAAAGTTGTTCTCTTTTGAAGAAATAATAAAATACACCAGTTTCCTAGAGAGACATCCGACAGAAGTCAGTGCTTCTAGATACAACAATTCTGTTTGGCAAAAGTCTTTGCACTGACAAGACACCCATTCACGCTCCCACCAACAGTTTTATGTTATTACATTTATTTCCCCAGATTAGCTCAAGTGGATGTGTATTTGTCCAGACTGCATGCTTACCTAAACAAAACAAAATTTCCTCCAAATTACCTGTTGAATCAGTGATCTGGCCTCCTTTGATACGTGGTCTGGTATACTCAAAGCAGTGTGTGTGTTTATTCCTGATGGATGGCACTCAACCAGACTCTGAAACAAAAACCAAAGCAGTCAGATACTTTTCTCAACTCACAAAATGTACAGCTGGATTATCTTGTCATAACATACATGCAAATTAACATACAAAGTTATAATTTCAGAGTGATAATTTTCAAAGTTATCATTTAAAAGTTATAATTTGTATAAGCTATTGATCTGGAAGGAGTGTCTACAAGTACCCAAGTTTCCCTGTCTTAATTTTCTTGCTTTATTGCCCAAACTTGAAAAGGCTTGAACTAGGTGAACTTCCCTTTCTTCAAGCAGAACTGCCAGCTAATCAACAGAATGATTGGGCCAAGCACTCCCTGTCTTACAATATAGAAAAAAAGGCATTCCTGGCAGGCAGTGACATCTCCTTCCATCTACCTGTTTCCAGGAGAGCTCATTATTTATCATCACATTTGCCTGACACCTCTAACAAAGGCAATCCACCAAGAGASCTGCTCAGACTTGAATTAATATGTTAACGCAACATACGGTTTCTACATTGTCCCAGGGAACAGAATTTCTGTTAAGGCAAAAAGTTTAAAAATGTACAGAAGAAATGTTGGAAGACTTGGATTTCACTACAATTAAAAGGATGGCCTGGCTTTTTGATCCCTTTACAGCCCTGAGTTTCATAAGGTTTTATAAAGTTGTTCTGAYGAAGCTTGAGCATATTTGATTTCTCAGCTCTCATGTGGACCAAGCAAATCTGAGACTCAGATCTGCAAGGCACATCTGGAAAGGACAAGCAAGGAAGCACAACTGGGCACATCGCTTCTCAGAAACTACTGGCCAACATCTTGGTTTTCCTTTAAATAACTTGCCCCTAGCCCTACCTTCCCAGTGAGGAGTTCAAACAGAATGGCACCCAGGCTCCACCAGTCACAGGCTTCTGTCTCTTCCAGGATAGCTCCAACCTCTAAATACGAGACATTGCRATTAATACTGAAAAGGTCAGGCACACCTTCAAAATTAACATATATTTACAAGGTGACAGTTTAATGCTGACTGAACATATACTAAATAACACAGAGCTTTCATTATGCCTGCAAGTTAGCTAGCCCTTTAGCCACCTACAGACTGCGATGCTCAAACACAGCACTGTTCATTACATGCGTAATTTGATTTTTCCTCACACACATGGGCTTTTTCAAGACTTGAGGGCATCAGAATGGGGATTCAGCTAGATTGGATTTGAATTGGACAGTGACAGATAGTTAGGCAAAACATATTTAGGGAATTTATCCYGGTCAGAAGAGCGGGACTGACCTGACTGGCGTGAGGCATCCGAATAGTCAGCACAAGGGGGTGTACAGTAAGTCAGTACCTAGGCATGCCTTGGCTTTGTCCTGGAGGGCAGAAGTCATCTCATGGCTAAGCCTTGCTCTCTGCTGGTATCACCATGGACTGGCTTTCCACAGTACTCTCCCATGTCTGCTGGGAACTAGATAAAGATGCCACATCTACTTCACATAGCCTATCCACAACGAGGGACCACAGTTTGCTACAAATCACCCCAGATTCAACSCAGCTACCTAGATGTAAAAAGTTATTTCCTCTGACATCCAGCAAAGAGCCAGCACCACCTTCCTGCTGTCCATGCACAAGGGAGAGAGCAGAAGGGTGGAGGGACTCACAGAAGCCCCAATGTTGCACGTTCCTATGTCCAACAGTACAAGCACACAGCAAACTTGGCCCTTATACAGTCATACTTGACACTACAAAATTAAACGCAAACACACAAGCTGTCTGCCTTAAAACAAGGAGCAAAGGCAGACTGCAATGAAGAGGAAATGTTTATTTTGACAGTCAAAGATGCAGCAGCTGCACCCAAACAGCTCTGGTGGCAAAAGCCACACCAGACTGGCAAGAGAGGACAGCAACCAGCACAGTCACCCAGCCATTGCTGTGAAATGCACTGGGCTGGGTTGGAAAACTCCTGCTTAGCTCTTCATGGAGCTTAGCATGAGCACAGCCAAGGAGAGCTATAGACGAGTCAAACTGGTGCCAGGGACAGGAAGGTGGTAGCCACAGCCCCCTCTGAGACAGGCACTGAGCGATGAGGAGGATGGCTCACATGGTTTTTATCCAGTTAGGGCATTACTCACATTGAAAAGTTTATTACAGATAACGGCATTTGAATGTCCAATATATCACTACACACTAGTAGAATTAATTCCACTCCCTACAGATTAACATTTCTATCATTATCAAGAAATTTTTGCAAGGATATCACGGCAGCCACACAAGGAACTGTATCACTATAATTGTTTAACATGTTTTAAGACCCCAGACGGACTTCTAGACCAAGCCAAAATTATGTCAAGGCCAGATTAATTTTTGCAAAACTCAAAATCTGTTCTTCTAAATAAAATATTACTTCCCTTTAGAAAGAGAGAGATTCTACATAACTGTCCTCTAAAAGGAAACCCAGAACCTCATGTCTTTTCACATTCTACAGCTGACTAGGGGCATCTCTCAGTGCTGAGAAATGTGTTGCATGGAAATGTCCCCTTCAGTCTGGAACTACTGAACATGATTTCCTAGTGCTCTATGTTCCAACTACATACACTCAAAACAATGTAATATGAACAGAAAACAAAGTCTAAACACAGRTATTTAAGGGTTCTTTATAGGAGAGGCATTCTAGTTGTTCTTTCCTGTGTGACTTTAAACCTGTGGATGCACTGGACTGAAAGTGTTTTCTCTCAAATAATTCAAGATTTCTATTTATTAAATTAATTTCACATTTATACCAGAATAAGGGCCGTCAAGCCAAGAGTTTATTGTTAAGTATTGACTACTACATTATTCATTCATATGCTACCAGCTAATTTGAATCAAGTTCCCTATGTTGGCAAATCTTAGTTTTTAGAATAATACCATAAAAAAATAGACTGTCTATTCTTCCCCAGAGACACTGAAACACTTAAGCTAATAGCAGGTATGGGTCTTTTTATTTACAGCTAATATAAGCAAGTTCTAGATGATGCAAAGCTTTGTCATTTTGAGCACACACAAAAGAAAGAAGAAGAGAAAAAAAGTAGTATTATGAAAAATGCATTTGAGCTATGGTGTTCTTTCTCTTTTAGTGCTGGCAGTCACAGATGCTGATCCAATTCTTTGAGGAACTAAACCTACACTGCCTTCTTTCACAGAAACACAAACCATTCATTGCAGGAAGCCAGTGCYACCTCACCCACTTCACCGATGAAGAAAATGAACACAGTAAGAGTCAAAAAGTGAACCAGAGTTTACCTCTTCACAAGCCAAGCTCATGTTTTAACTGTAAGAGCACTTTCACAATTCAAAAACAACAAGTCACTGCAGGTCTATTACAGGAGAAGCAACGACTCTTGTATTACTTTTGTCCATCACCAAAACAAGGCAAATGGGATGAAATGAGAGCAGCCAAGTAATGCAGAGCTCTCCCCAGACCGAGCAGCTCTGGCCGAGTTCTCGTGCACACAAGCAGGGCCTGGGTGCCCAGTCACCTAAACCAACCTCAAACAGAAAATGGAAAATTCAGACACGAAAAGCATCTGAATTTTCTTTTATGCAAAAAACATTCGCTCTACTTTTCTCCCATTACCAGTGTCTCTCTTCCTAATGCTTTCCCTAGGTCCCCAAATTACCTCATTTTGGATTAAAATACATGTTTTCCTTAAAAAAAAAAAAAAAAAAAGCGTTGTGAATACTACAAATAAACATGTGTTGTTTACATTCCCTTACTTTAAATAGGTCACCTTACTTCTGATGCAATACACCGATCGTAATAAGTTCAGGATATCACATCAATATTACTGCATTTTATCTTGACTACACATCATGGGAAAATTTAGAAACTGTGGATTATGAAGTGCTTTCAAGTGATACAGAGTAGCTAGCTAATGTAATATACCACACAGGGCATATGCTTTCTTTTTTTAAGCTTTAATATTGCAATAAATCTGAACTACAATATCTGCCTTCACTAAGAAAACATTTTCATCTCAATCCATCAGCAAAGTAATTTAGACAATATATGGTAGCAACCCATAAGCCTAAGTGAATAACATGGGGATATTTGTGCCAGTTCTTTACTTCAGGAACCTCGAAATCAAGGACCTTATCCACATTTGTACAAATGTAAGTCTACACAAGCCTGGGCATGGTGCTAGTGTTTTCAGGACCTGCAGTACAAAATTTGCAGAAAAAAATGTTCATACAATTTTCAAATGCAAGATGCTCCTAAAGCAGAGGAAAAAATCTCTTAAAGCAGAGACTGAAAAAAAATGATCAGAAATTCTTCCAATTTCGATGCAAATTCATTAAAAAAGAGAGGGCTTCCTTCTTTTTCCCTTACCAGGGCATGGCCACTGAACATGCAGCACCAGGCAGCCCGTGGCAATAGCAATGTTAAATTCTTGCACAGGAACACGGTTAGCAGCAGCAGTCGGAGGAAACTGAAGAGAATGAGATTTGTAAAACGCTCTCAGAGTCAGATCAAGACAGATGGTGCAGGTAAACAGCCTCTCTACCCAGCTCTATTCCTCCAGTGCAGCTGGTCTCAACTGAAAGGCTATTTCTTTACCGTTTCCATACTTACCTCTTATTTGCATTACACACGGTAGTACCTTACTTCCTGATACGGGATAYGTAGCTGACAAAATCCTATATTTTTAAGCATAAATGCCAGTTCTGAAGTAGAAAAACAGAGCCTTGGCTTTTTCTGAACGGGTCTTTGATGATGTTATCAATATCAGGACTGATTTTCTCATCTTTTCTACAGCATCTTACCCTGAAATGCACCCTTCATGCTGAAAGCTTTCAAAGATTTTTTCCTATAACCTCTCAAAAATTTTCTCTCAATATACAGTCTCCTCCAGGACTGATAATAAGGCCTCCTGACTAGCATGGYATTATTATTAGTTGAAGCACTATTGCTATTAAGCACTAATATAATTAATTAAAACAAAACCAAAGCCAGGTTTAGGCCTAGTCCAAGCAACTTGAAATTCACTGTGCCAATTTATGTCGCACCATTTGCAAATCACTTGGAACAGAACCAAACTTTGTAGGGTAACCTTTAGCATCAAGAAAATACATCTGCATTAAGAATGAGGCCTGAAATCAGCTCGCAAGAAAACAGGCTAGTAGCAGAAGTATTGCTTAACCTAACATCTAAAAGTGAAGAAGGGTTTTGAGCTGCGACGTTCCTCCTGAAATTAAGACAGGAACCTTCTGACTCTTACRGGTCAGATGAGAATTTCAACAAGGAGGAGCCCCTTCCCCCTACTCTGTGCTTCAAGGAGAAGCTGCACACTTTTAAGTATTGTAAATAGCCTACCTGCAAGTATTGTTTCTGCACTGCTAAGAAAGCAAGGACACCTATCTGAATTACCATCAGGTGTCTGAAACYGCTCAGGAGGAAATGGACTTGTCCAACATCCTTAAAACATCAGACACGACGTCTTCTCCTCCCGCTGCCACTGAGATAAACAGCACTGCATGAAAAAACATTAGCTGTGCTTCAACCTTCTATTTACCTTACACTCATCTAATTTGAAAAGCTTACTATTTTATCTGAGTTTAATATCTATAAATATAAAGAAGCATTCACAGAGAACCAAGTAAAATGAGTCCAAGCTAATTCACTTCACACAGATTCAGTCAGCCAAGATATCACAAGACAGAGTCACTAAGTAATATATCACACAAGCAACGTGGCTATAATGCTTCACCTAAAACGCTTTAGCAATTTCTACAGCGCAGYATGGAAACATCTATAGTTAAGTATGAAAAGTGTATCATGGTCTTTAAACAATAAAGTAGTGAGGCAAGTCCAAAGGACATCTGCTAAGATCAAATGGAGTATGAAAATATGAACTTCCATACTAAAGATATTCAGAAATATATGAACATCTATATCCCTCTTTG